CTTCGTTGTTGGCTTCGCTCAAACCCAGTGGCTTCGTACTGGTGACTCGACTGAGATGAAACAGCTTGCGGGAATTTCCTTCAACAACAGCGCATTTCACTTCTGATCTACATTGCGATTACCAGATTCTGCGGTCCTCACGAAGAAATACGTTTAGTGTACCTCTGGTTACGAGTCCTATTTAAACGTTCTTGCTTTTCAACCAGGGAAAGACTGACGTACTTCATGATGGTGCAGAAATTAAACAAAAAGCCTGGGTCTCCAAGCCCGATGGGACAAGCCCCAACTTATTGGGCCGTCGGAATGTTAGCATTCTCTATAACAGACGAGTGTATGTTAGTGTTGTCAGGTGCAGCTGCACCAAGCTTTCCTGCTAGCTTGTTTTGGAAGATGGATCGGTGTCATGGATGGGATAGCTTATCGCAGTCTAATCGTCGTTGAAGCGTACTTCTAAATTGTCCACAGAAGCAAGTGGACAGCTACTGCAGGCCGTTTCGTGGTTGGAGTGAATGAGAGTCAGTGAATTAGAAAAGATTCTCCGCCTGTCAAGTGTGTACAGTATACTGATTTTGGTAGCTCAATTCGAACTAGATCGGTTCTGCTATCCACCCCAGGTGATAACAAGTTTTTATTTTTTTGTGTGGAGGAAAACAAAAGGTATCTCAAACTTCTCCTGTTGAATTGATATATTGGTTCAAAAATGGTCTCTCTTGATACTTTCTAAGCTCATATGTAAGACAACTAGCCAGTCCGACGGTTTCAGATACGTCACAAGTTTGTCACACGGATTACCTTCCCAAGTTGCAGTGAAACGTGGTATTCATCAGTCGCTTTGCTAATCCATTACCTACGATGGGGATCTCCAAACAAACTCAATCATCATCTCCAGTTTGTATGCTATCGGGTTAAGGTAACATTACACAGAAAACCGACAATCAAATTATGAACTCCCCAAATACCTTCTAGTAGTATTAAAACCAATGAAGCTGTAAACTGGCCAGGCTTTTTCATTGATTTCCAACCGCCTTTTGGCAGGCCGTATGAATAACTATAGTACAACCTGCTGGATCAAAAGTCATTATCATATAGGAGGGCGGTTGCCTTCAGGGTCAAAAAAAACTATACGTGATCAACTCATTTCCTTTTTGGTCATTGACAGAGGACTATTATAGTTCAACTGGCGATTTTATACTCCGCCTTTGTCCATGGTGTTCACATTGGCTGTACTGCTCGATTATGTGTGCATTGCAAAGAGTCAGATGCACTCCCTGGCTATAGTGCGCAGTGAATAGAGAAATCGGACAGAACCGAAGTTCAACGATTTCTGGTGGCTTTCGGTACTGCTTCTGAGATAAACGTTCAGCAGTGAGCAGCCACAGATAAGTTCAGTTTAGACAATCCGTCTCTCTTCTGTAAAAGAATAATTGACCGGATTCCGTTTCTGTAGCTAGAAACATTGAGTTCACTAGTGAAATAGCGTTATCTTTAGTCGTTTTCGCATTTTTATCCCTCGATACTTAATAAAAATTTTTCAAATAATTCCTTCATTGGGAAGCAAACAAATCTGCCGATAAGAGCTGTCGATTTTATTTTCACTGCAACGAAATTCTTCGACTAGTCATCATTCGGTAGAACTAATGGGACGAATATCAGCTCCTCTTTCAGACAATTTGTTGTGCACGTATAATCAATGGTAAGAGCCCGATATATATATATATATACATATATATATATATATATATACCTTTTAATAGAGCTCTCTAGCACACGGCGATCCCCTTTCGACTTCCCCCCTTTCACGGTTTTTCTTTTACGGATTTGTCTTGAATAGGGCCATTCTTCTGTTCCTCGTAAACATTTCGTGGAGAATCAGTTTTTGTTCTTTTCACCACTTCTCATTTATTAATTTGGCAGAATATGAACACACTGAGGCGCAGTTGGAGCATTGGATACTGTGCAACGTAAAAGAAATTGGGGATAATAAATTGGTTTACAAGTCGAATTTGGGATTCGTAACCTCCCTCGTTTTATTACCTTCTGTTTATTCCCTCCTTATACACCTGGTTGCAGGCAATTCATCTGAGAGCTGTTTGCCACGTTGGTTTTGAAGGAATAGCTTTGAAAACTTTACCAGGATGCCCAACTGGATGCTGAAACGGCTTTTTTTAAAAAAAAAGAAATGCAACATATTTCACTAAACAGAATTTTGTTGACCACGACACCACACCCATCAGTAATATGGCTTTCTTGTTCATATTTAACCTTGAGGTCATTGCGAACGGGGAACTGTTGCGCGACATATTTTACCTTTTTCATTCAAGTGCGCATCAGCCGTCACACTGTTGCTTGGTACCTATCCGAATGGCCACTCCTCATTGCACATATTGTTCTAGCTGGTACTCTATCTAGCTGGCATATTTCACGGGGTATATTACCGTAATAGTAGTGAGACGGACTAATCACGTACTAATCCGACAATGGATAGTATGTAGGACGAGGAAATATAGTGTCAATAACACGACGTTGTCGGTAGAAAAATTATGAACCGAGGTTTCGGTTACCGTGGGTAACCTTTCTCAAGGTGGTTTTACAGTCTAACCTGAATGACTGTAAAATGGCCTTGAGAAAGGTTACCCACGGTAACCGAAACTTCGGTTTGTAATTTTTCTACCGACAACGCCGTGTTATTGACACTGTATTTCGTCGTTTAACACAACACATGGCACAATGTTTATTCGATACACTCCGAACCTCGTTTGGGCCTGACTTGCTGAATAGTATGTAACTTTTAACGATGACTGTCAGTTTCTGTCTTCGGCCACCAGGTCTCAACAAGCTAGCAGTTCATTAGGTAATAACCGTATTGATCAGCAATAAGAACCGAGTTTTTAAAGTGAGACAACCACCCGGAGGCAACAGACGGATTTTTCCTAGTACTTAGCGAAGCTTTTAGCATGGTCACCTAATTCATTCTCTCATGGGACGTACGGTGCAACAGAAGATATTTTACTGTATCGACGAGACTAATCAGTATGTTGCATATCATGTTTTTAGAATGATGATGCAGCTCATTTTTCTGCAGACCAAAACACGTTTAAAGAAGACTGTCCACTGAAAAGTTAATACGCACATCACTCTGAACTGTCTCGTCTTTTCTCATTATTAACTTCACTCCCATTCATCAGTTATTGAAAGCATATCCACAGCCCAAGGGATTTTTTGGCATCACATCCCCAAGAACGGCTGAAAGTTATGTTATAAAAATTTGTGCATCTGGGTTTTAAATGTCCCAATTACCAGCCTTCTGTTATGATTTAAAACCATCCTTCAATAATGCAGTTTTTAAGCTAATGTATGAACCTATCTATGAGAATACTACGACGCTGTCGGAAATGTCGATAATCAGTCAGCATCTACGCTAGCGAGAGTAACACTTCTCAAAACGGGTTATTTTGAAGTAAAACAGACTGAATCAATTTCCAATCTTCTCCGTAAGAAAACCCAAGAAGAAAAACAGCATAGAGAAGCCTAACCAAGTACACAAAGCTCCGGATAAGTAATACGTCAAGGATTGCTTTAGTCCGAAATCTGCTGTTGTTGGGTATAGTTTTCCTGATGACAGTCTTACGTTTGAGCCCGGTTGAGGTTCACAAAAACGTGGAAAAAAATAGTTTGATATTCATTTTCTTCTCCAACACTCGAGGGAATGCAAACGGTAATTCCGATAGGAAAACAGACGAATCAAACGGTCTAATCAGTTGGCTTTTACGTACACTGCCTAAAGCAATTGTCAAAAGGGAGGTAAAATTACTGAAGCAAAGGAGCCCCAACGCATTTAATAATTGTGCGTAACCTTGAACAGAATCACTAGAAATTCACTTGCTCAATCCAAACCAGTGAGTTTGATAATGTATTCACGTTTGTGTGATGGAAACGCAAATCGCATGAGTTAACCACGACAAGCAGCCTGTTGCGAGGATTTTCCTTGTGCACTAAGCAAAGTAATTTATTTTACATTCTGACTGGAGATGACAAATTTCTTTAAGGCGTTCATCCAACTTGGCCCACACATTCATTGTGAAATCTCAGAAATACTGTAGACAAACTTCGACCGTCTGTCCTCAATTGACCGAAGTGGATGTGAATGGCTTGCGAAATAATCGCGGTCAATCTGACAGTCACGGAGTTCATCAATGTCGAATTGCAACCACCGCGGAATTCCCTGATGAGCGCGGCTGTTACATAGCTAGTTGAACAGATAGGTTGGGTTTATTCATTTAAGCAAGTAACGCGTTGATAATACACCGTTTCAATGATAGGCGCATGCCATGCTGCCAAAATAAAGCTGTTACAATGATACGATTACGAACCACATGATCAGAAAAACATCAAAGAATTAGAAAATTCTCCCCCTCGTGCGATCATACATTTCCAAATGTTACTGCGACAGAAGAATTACGGCTCGCAAAATAGTATAACATACAGAATGAGGAAGAAAATAACCAGAAAGGGACAACAAAAATAAGATTGTTTTCCGTATTAATAAGTGTAGTTAGCCTTTCCATCTTTTGTCTTTCGTATTTGTGGTCAGCTAATTTAGCCTACTAATATAATAATTCATGAGATGGAATGCCACTGGTTTTCTCAAAAAAAAGAAATATTATTTCGACCAAGGTATTTATGAATAGGGAAGCAACCTGTTCTTACAACCGACATGTATTGTGCTTCCCGGTTGATGTTAGATTACGGAAAACAAAACAAACATTTTGCGTTTTGTTGAGTACATTGATTACTCAAAAGTGATTTCCGTCTGGAATGTATGGGCTCAAAACACGGCGCATGTGATGATAGCGCATGACAACGCTTGAAACAGATAAAAACACTACACACAATAATCACTTTTGTTGTCCGTTGCGTATATCTTTTGTAAGGCAGAAACAGAGGTTTTGATGGGCGAATCTGTACAAAATCATCAGCCACTGAAGCTCAGTCACGAAACTCTACCGATCACGATATCTGAGATAATACCGACCAAATAAAATTTTCCGAAAAGCATTACGGAAGTCGGGAGAAAATATGGTGTAGATCATTGGATTGAGTAAGGAATTTGAATAGCCAAGCCATAGCACAATACCTTGACCAACTTTGGACAATTTCATTTGGTCGTAAAATGGAGCAATTAATGCCACTATGAAGAATGGTAACCAGCACAGCATAAAACAACCAGTAATAATGGCTAAAGTGATGACAGCTTTTCGTTCTCTTTGATTTTCTAGGCGTTCCCGTTTGACCATGGCTGTAACAGTAGCCAATTTGGTTACCTCGGACACGGTAGATTTGAGCCTTGCTTCCAGATGTATTGTCCCACCGGAGACATCATCCGTTTCCAGCAGATCGTTGGACTGAGTCGGACATGCTTTGTTGACCGTGTCTCCCGTGATATCTTGTTCCGCTGGCTGAATGGTTCTGATATCGAACATATTGTCGTTATGACTAGTGTTATTATCATTTTGCCCTCGAGGTGAATCACGGCAGCTCTTAGATATTTTTCTCCTATTTGGTTTTCCTTTATGTGGTCGAAAATTACCCCGACTTCGTCTGCGTGAACCAAGCTTAGGAAGTGTCCACTTCGACTTTTTCAGACCACCCACCTGACAGGGTTCATTAACATCAGTATTTGGAGAGAGGGATGTTTTTTTCCTGTGACTAATGAACGTTTTCATCACGGTGTAAAATCTTCGCTTCTGGTTTGTTTGATTACCGGTATATTTGGTACGGTTGTCCACGGAACACGAAGACGACCAGGCTGCCACATCAGATTTGTCCGATCGATTTACAGTATAGCAACTCGAATCAAATGAGCTGGAGGCTGAACTGTAACTAGGTTTTGATGTGTCAAATACACTCGGCGGTGCGGAATGTGATATTCGGTTCCAAACTAAACGAACAGTTTTCGTCTGTTCCACAGGACTGGGCGGAATTCGACCCAGGCACCGATAACACTGTGCTATATTGATAGATGCATTTCGATCACGATCGTGCCGTGTGACACACAATGCCCGCTGCAATGTTGTTAGCTCATTGTTTGGTTCTGCTCCAACAATCGATGCATCCTTTTGTTGTGCCACTTGACAGGGAGTCTTCCACGTTGATATGACATCAGTTTTCTGTCTCCACTCAACTTCATTTTTGACGGTTTTGTCTTTTTCTCGAGTGCATTTCGTGTTACTTGGTGATTTTTTAAACTTTCTTCTGTAACAGTGATACTGATCACTTACCACACTTACACCTGCGTCATTTTTCTTCGCAGATGTAGCAATCGAAGGATTGACCGAGCTTTTTGCGTGTTCGCTTTCGATCCATCGATCCGACAGTCTATCAGATGCTCTGCCAAAACAATTATAGCAGATATAATGTCTAGTCCAATGTGATGCTTTTGAGTCGTACCATTTGGTCCAATTATGATTAATCATATTTTTTGCTGCCGTTTGTTGGTTTGGTGAGTTTGTCTTTTTTCGAAATGTGGATCTACGAATGCGTGCTTTGGCCACCATATATATTCTAGCGTAAATACATATTATGAAGAACATTGGCATGTAAAATGCTACGACGGTGGAGAATATGGTATACCCGTACTCCTTATTGATCCCACAGTCTGGAATAATGTACTCATCAAATGAAATGTTGACAGTGTCCATTGGTTGTATCCAGCTTGTCAGACGCGTTGTTGTAAAACGAGCTGGCAGTGAGATGGCGATAGACAATAACCAGAACACCGTGATCATGAATCCAATCCGTTTGGCTGTGCGTTTACGGATGTATTCCGCGTTGGTCACTGCCCAGTACCGGTCGAGAGCAATTCCAACCAAATGCATAATTGAAGCAGTGCAACAAAGTACATCTGAGCACACCCAGAAATCGCACAGTGCGTTACCTGTACCAATAAATGCAAATAAAGTTTTTTTTCCAAAATTATTTTATGATGAAGAAATATGTTGCTCAATAAACAAACGGATCAGATACGGTGGAAATCAGTCGTACCTGATCTCAACGAAAACATTTTACCTGGAAAACTGTAAAGTGAATAAACAGTCAAAAGACGACCGTCTTGTGTTGTTTTATGTGCATAAATCGTAAGAAGGACTGTCCGTGGTAAACCTCCTTTGAGACTACCCATCGATTACCCATCAAGTTGTGGCTAAACCATCTTGAATGAACAGATGTGCGAATTTTCAGAAATTTCAAGTATTCTAGATAAATGACAGTGTATGCATATAACGAAAAAAAGTGGGTTTTGTTAGGAAACAATCCAGCATCAGTCACTTCCTATGAAGCCATTGTGGCGGGGTTGTTGTAGAAACAGATAATTTTTCATTGCTTTCGAAATGATTTAGATAACTGTCATACAAGTGCGTTGTTTTTTCTGGCTACATGGTTTTACGGCGTCAAGTGGGGTGGAAATAGCAATCGGAAGTTTTATTCCCTTCAGGGCAAAAGATAAACTGGAAATCAGAAACCGTATTCTCAAGAGGCGATAGATCACTTAAGTTTTCCTCAATGAACTGAATACTCAAGAAGAGAAGTACACACTACATCGGTCATATATGATCAAAGGTTGTAGCACGACCCAACAGCACTATTCAGTAGGTAATGTTCTCATGTGATCTCGAGATTTACAAAATAGTTCCATTCTTGTGAACCACAGGAAAGTTTCATTTTACTTTGGGATATGAATAAAATATCTACCACTAGGTTGGTCAAAAGTTTATCATCGTGAATTTCGAACAATATCGACTAGGGTTACGTTCTCGCCACCACCAGTCATTTTACCACCTCGAAGTCTTTCTCTGGCTGCGGACCCTTTCTGATTTGTGTAATAAATAAAAAAGAAGTGGAAAAAGAACATTTTATTGTTAAAATTTGAAACAAATGTTTGCTTCTTTACAAGGTAAAAACTCAAAGAGCTGAGGTACTTACTTCCTAATTATGTTATTGCACTAATATCTTTATTTTCAGTTTCTTGTTTTACGCAGAAGCGATGATGTATCTGGATTTGAATCATGTCTGAAGGGCAGTTCAGCTTGTTTCTTCTTTTAGAATACGACCTTATAAAGTCCACTAGAGTTACTGAATCATTATTTTATTGCTATGCAAATACACTTCAAGTATCGTATAAATTCGGAGTAAATACTATAAACAGTTTCTGGAGACGGGGCTGCGCATTATTTGCCACCAGCTAGGACCTAATTTATTTTGCGTGAAGTATACCCATCGCACTGAAATCGTCACATATTAAACTACTTACCTAGCCACCAGTCTCTCGAGACCTCGTTGATAGCCGATATTGGCATAGGGAGTGTTGCAACCATCAAATCCGCCACGGCCAAGCTGAGTATCAAATAGTTGGATACCCCCTGACAGAAAGTTACAGAAGCAACGCAAAGAGAATTTCCATTCATATATACATGAAATACGTAACGTTAGTCACAAAAGTCATTCAGTTTCTGCCCAGTCATGATTTTGGGGTAACTAACTGTGTAATGCTTTGATTCATAAGTCATTTGTTTGGTTGCTCATGAGTTATGAAATGCTCATTGTTGATAACCTTTTAGCGAAAAGCTGAAAAATGCTTCATTCGTCTTTGTCAACGTCCTTCTTGACTGAACTGATTCGCCGTGATAAAATCCTTCTTGGAGTTGAACAGTCGCCTACGTCATAAGGTAATAAATGCAACTCGGTCCAGTTTATCGGCTCGATAGTCAGATGACAGAGGACGCGGAATAACACTCGCATGAATTATTTCTATTTGTTTCACGGTTAAGCAGATTTACAAGGGAAACTGGAACAGAAGGTGATCAACGAAAAAAGAAATAATTTCCCTAATATGACTTCATTAGTGGAAAATCATGATTGGCTAGCGCTGTGAGTGACCTTTCTCAAGGGGAGATAACTGTTCCCGTAGTAGGATGCATTTCGATCTATGCACTCTGCTATGTTTTGTATTCTTCTTCTTTCCAAAGCAAAATAATGTCACGCTTCCGCACCTAGCTTATGTATCACGAATTTGCTTACTCGCCGTTCCTTTTTTCAACAAGCTTCCAGCTAGAACAGAAAGCTCCGAGGACATATTTCGAGAATACGAACATTACGGTGATGTTAGGTTTTCGGATCTTCCCTAATTTGTACTGTTCCACTCTTGCCTTGTTTCGCTTCTCGGCTGGAAGCTTCTCCTCACTTATATGTTAGTTATTGAAAATTTTTGATATTTTAATAACTTCTGAAAAACTTATTCAAATTCACAGAACATTAGTTGCACAGTCGCACGGCGAAAAACATGCAGGGAAAGTTTCCCAAAGAATAAAAATTCTCTTCGGTCAACGAGTGTTACATTGGAGTGTGGAAACAATTATCCGGAAAAATTGCCCATATCACTCAAAAATTGAGGTTGTATTCATCAAGCTGTACACGCAGTGCATCGATTATTTGCTTGCAAAAGCATGCTTGTGTGCTTTAGGCAGACAGATCAAAATCACTCGATTACAGATGCGGTGGTTTTTGCCTAATCAATTTTATCAAGCTGTTTACAGAACTCTGCCAATTCATATATAATTTTCGACTTTGTAAGTGGTCTGATTCTTTCTTATTTTCCACGTGGTCAAGAACCCCTTGTTTTTCAAAATTGTGGCGACTAAATTCCGTCTTTTTACATTCGGGACATCGGCTGTAGTCTTACAAACGGTTTTTCCTAACGATAACTTTCCTTGTGCATGGTCGCATTATGTGACAACTCCAGGGTGTCTGGTTTTTAGAATGAGACTAAAACGTTATTTTCCGTCCATAGTGTATAATTATTCGGAGTGCATGAAAAGACTTTTTACATGTGAAAAACTGGCAACAGACTCATTCAACATGGAACGGAGACCCCCGATGGCAAAGTCTTACATTTGATGTAGAAATAGATTAGATGAAATCGACATTTTGCTCATTACGAAGCTTTCAATGCGATTGATGATTCCATCATATAGCAGTAAAAGTACGTTCAAAAGAATTGCATTTATTCAGAGAACTAACTCCACATGGCAGGCTATGCATTCAGTTTGCCATCTACCTATCCAGTACTCTGTATCTACGTTTCAATCATAAATCGTGGCCACAAATGTGCATCCTATCCGGATGAAACTTATCCGCGATCATTAGCTGTGCGAATACATCAAGTCTCAACTGTGACGGGGATTCAGCGTGCAGAACTGTGAACCACGTGCCGTTAGTGTTATTTATGCCCGAATGATTTTACACAGCCTGCTTCATCTCTACACCATGTTTCATCGTGCCTGGCTCTTGTTGAACTTGCCATTTTTGTAACAATAAAGGGAATCACAGGTGACTTTTCGTTAGCAACCTACGGTGACAAAATGAACAATTATTAGCAACCTGCCCAGAGTAGACACTTAATTACCCCAAGCAAAATTGCGAACACTTCTGAAACACTTAAATATCCTGTTAAGATTAACTTCTGTTTGGTGCAACCGTTATGAGGTCTTAGTGCCCAGAGCTTGAAAAATGATGTCATTTAATTATAACCCATTCAATTCCATTTGTAAAGAGTTATTTAAGTGTGGAGAAAGACATTTCACAATTTCAACTTTTCCCCAGTCTGCTTATTAGGCTTATGGCGTAGCACCGCTTGGACACTCAGCAATATCAAAGGATCACCTCTAACATTCTCAGGACCCATCTAAGACAGAAGTTTTTAGATTTTGGTGACTTTTACTTCAAGGAAAGTATCTTTTGTTTGTATGAGACAGTAAACTTAGCCTGAAATCAATAAACATCAGGAATGCTCATTGTTTGCCAAAGAAATTGACTATTTGAAGCGGCAGCCTTCTGTCAAACTAATTTAGAGCACAGTATTCCAGTGCCAAATTCTCGTTAAAAACCCAAAAAATTGGACATTTCACAACATGTTCGCAGTGACCTTTTTTCCGATGAATTATGCAGAAGAAAACAGCAATCTTTCAAGGCACACTCAAGTACCACTTGAATTCGTAACGGCAATTCAGCGAAATCACGAAAGTACAGCTAATTCCTTGTTTTATTTGTAAACTTGACACACGGCTTCTGGAACTGACAGGTGAATGAAAGATTTGGAGAAGTGATCAAACTTTTACACAAGATTTAATAATGGCCGTGAATAAATCAGTTTGTTTAGACATATATAGCTAGACGTGGACATTTTATCCCTCCTCTAAGGAGGAAATTATATTCATAAATAGTTCTACTCTTCAGTAGGACATCTATTCCACTACTGACGCGTACAGATGCTGTCCTAGTTTATCGAATTATTTTATGTGTTTAAATAATTTTTTTGAATACGAAATTTCCAAGAAAAACTCTGCATCAAATTTACTGCATTACGTACAATATGCGATCCTTATTTCATCTGACAATATTCGGAAACAAACAATTCAAAGTGAGCAAATCGGAATATTATCTCCAACAAGTGAACGAGCACGATCACATGTGAGTTGGTATTTGGAAACTTGATTGGGTGCAACTCGAAGATGCAAAAGGTCTTTTACACGTCCATCATCACAATAAAAAAACATTTTTTGCGATTCCCGAGTAAGGACCCGTGAATCGTGTTTTGAGCCTCATCTTGTTCTGCTCTAAACATTGCGTCTCATTGCCAGTCTTTTGCGAATATTTATGAGTAGACAGACTAGATTCACGAAGCGAAAATGCTCTGGTTGCTTTGGTATGTCACGCAAATACTTTTTCTTCTTTTACTCGAATATTCAAACTATTTTCCCTGTACAAATTTTTCGGGAAAATATAACGTTAGTAAAAGATGTATCTTTGAGAAATTTTTTCTTCA